TCTCCAGTTACTCATTCTTTTATCACCTGTGTACTTTCCAGGCTTCTTTACACAACTTTTTCATCCCTGTTCACTGAATTCAGCACCTTTGCAGATACTAACCAAATACAAACATTCCGCAGCAGGTCAGGGCTTCCCTCAGATGTGAAAGACCCATCATAAACACCTCTACTTTGTCCTGTCCCAAGGATATTCAGTGGGGTTGCCACCACCATGCAATCGAGAAAGTTTCAGAAAAAAGTGAGTTACCCAAACTTGATTCATTTTTGCCATTACCGCTAGTTTCAGGTGTGGTTTAGCTTTCCAGAGGCTGAGCGTCGCTTCCAGCTCTACTTGGTAAGTTAACTTCACCATACCGACCAGTATCTTGTGGGCTTTGTTGTCTTTCAGAACAGAAGGATTTTACATGAAAAAAAAAAATCCTACTGGCTTTTGTTGGGGTCAGTGTTTTCTGGGAATACTGCTCAGCAATTTGACTGTCTTTTCCAGTAATTATATTGTAACACTTTCCAGTTCTGTTCCATTATGTAGGTAAGTGTCTCCAACACAACTGAATAAATTGTGCTAGTTTAACCCCCTAAATTAATTTCTATCAGCTTCTGGCTGTTACTTTTCCTTCTTTATGTGTGTAGTAATGAGGAGTTTGGGTTACTGAGGCTTGACTGGACCCGCTCGTCTACCTGTTTCCGCAGATTGCGGATTCTCAGCTGGAAAGTAAAGGGAAGATGCTCAAGAAGATTTTTAATCCTCAAGGACAATGCCACTTTTTGGGAGCTCTCTGAAGTTTGCAGCAGTGCAGGTTTCACCCCTCTTCCTCTGTTCTAGCAACATTTTTATTTGTGAACTATCACTGCCACTGCTGGCACGGCGGTTGTTCCTCACGGGGGCAGGCTGAAAACCGGCCCTGCGGAAGGCCTTTGGCCAGGCTGGCACTGTTGCTCTCTGTAAGGCTGTGCCTTAGCTTTTGTCGGCAGAGAGAACAAGTTTCCTTCACAAGAACACACCATTTTTCCTAACGTTTATCTGATGGCTCCCTCTAGGGAGAGGAACATAAATACCGACCTACTTCACAAATTGAAGTTCTTGGATTTTTGGTCACTTTTAGTCCTAGAAGTGTTTTTGTCGCACTTGCTCCCCGTTAGACTCCTTGCCTTGTCAATACCTTCTTCCTCGCGTTGTCTAGATCAGTGTTGTTCGGGCGGCTGCAGGAATAGAGTTTTCAAGCCGTCTTATTTGCATTTCAAAATTGTCTCCTGTAATCAGTCACTTTGTGCCAAAGGCACCCAGAGCTACCTCTCCCAACAAAACAAGGAACGTAAGCCTGATGGACAAACAGGGAAATACTCTGAGCTGAGCCAGGGCAGATCTGAAGCTTCTGGCTGCCATTCAGAGTGGTAACAGCTCATTGACCAGCACTAATTTTAGATAAGCAGGATCTGGTGTCACGAGAAGGGGCACTTTATTTTTTGCATAGAGCATGAGAGAGCAACAGGCACAGGGAATGGAGGAAGGGCACAGGCAAAAGGAATTTACGGATTAAGCTAGGCGATAGCTGCCCTCCTCCACTGGAGTCAATGACCACCAGGTTGTTCTCTGAGAGAATAACTCCATGTTCACTCTCCACTCACTGAGTTAAACATTGGTTAATGAAAATTAGTACTGCTCCTACTACTATGGTTTTAAAAAATGCTCAGTTATTCCAAAAATACAATTAGTGATTGAACTGAAAATGGAAATGTCTGGCCCGGGGCTGTGTCCCACCAAATAAATTGTTTACATTGAGTTTTTCAGCACTGACTTCAGACCGTTTACATTGAAGTCTGTAGTAAAACTCCCATCTCTGAGTCCAGGCAGGGGATGTTCAACATCCCACCTGAGTCTTGTTTAACCAGGGTGTCCCTGCTTACATCTTGTTCCCGGTGAGCGGATCAGTGAGTGTGGAGAGTTAGGACAGCACAAAAGCTGGTGGGTGTCTTGTTGCAAGTGCAATCAGTTGGTATTTGCAGTTTACTCCAAAAAGTGAGGTAGCAGGGAATGCCCTGCTATTCAAAGGCAGAAAACAAACAACTGTTTATACCTTTAATCAACCACTAGTTGTTTTGGGTTTTTTTACGAACAATAAACATGGCCCAGAAATGGAACTTAGGAAAAGCAGAAATGCGGTTTACAAAATCCCCTGATGTCTCTCTTACATTGACCTAAAATTTTCTCTCAAGACAGAGAAACATTTCAGTGGCACCTGCATCACTGCCGTGGGTCCCACTGCACTGTCGATGGGCTGTGCCTGTCCATTAGGACATGGCAAAAGGACTCTACACCTGGTCTGGTGCTACACTCCTCTTTGTCCAAAAGCCCTGAGAGCAAAAACCTTCTGACTAGGTGACTTCACAAAATGGAAAAAAACATGAAAGCCTTCAGAATGTGAAAACTTACTGAGGTCACAGTCATATATGCCTGAAAGCCGACACAAGGAGTGTTGGGCTGAGCGTGGAAAGGGAAGGGCAGTAAGAACAGCTGCTGCCCTTGTAGTTCAGCTCCATAAACCAGGTGTGTCCTGAGGTCCTCAGTGCACAAGAATTTGTGCCACTTTGTATTTCTGGTAATCTGTCACTGGATGCTGTTTATTCTCTTGCCCCTAAAATTTTATAGGTGGCACTAAATGTATTTGCTTACACGCAGGTACGAGTCATTCTGAATTGCATTAACACCAAGCATCTCTCTGGCTTTACAGCCACACACTGTTAGCTCTTGTGGAAAAGGGCTGAATTAAAACACCATCGGGACCACAATACCGAAGTGTGGGAGACTCCAGATTTTGTTTCTAATCACTGTCCTGTGTTTTAATGCTTTTTCAATCACAAGTGCTCTTAAACCATAGTATCTGGCTCTTTTACACTGTGACCAAACGTTGATTAAAGCAGTTTTCATACCTTTGGCTTCATTTTTAAGCTGTGACTAAAAAGAAAAATACAGGCTATTCAAATACATCAGTACAGACTGTGGACTAAAATACGTGTTTTATATATATTGTGCACTTTTGGTTATTTTTATGAACTATTTAAATACCTGTCATTAAACTTTTCTTCTATACCGCGGAGCTGAGAAGCAACTTGACTTAAAAAGTATGCAAATGTCTGTCTTAGCTTTGCGGCTACTGGTATGCTTTCAGCCATGCTCTTATTTTCAGTAACTGTATTTCAGAGTTTGAACCATGTAAAATGTTAATACCAGACTTCTAGGAAATAAACGTCTGTGCAAACCTCGCTGTTGTTTTTTTTTCACTGCAGTGCCAGAGGGAGTTAAGTTTCTAAAATGAAGCAATAGTTTGAATGCTGCAGGAAGAGCTGTGATGTGTCTCAGCCCTGCTTATCACAGGAAAACTTATTTCAGGGCTTCTCTGACAGTAAAGTCTTTATTTCCAAGAAGACTGACAATAGGCTGAAAAGAGAAGTTTTTTCTAAATTGATACTTAATAGGGTGTCCCTGAATAATGAGTAAGTGCCACAAGCTGATAGGACATCTTTTGGGAAACTAAATTACATAAAGTGGATGTGACAAGTTCTCTGCCCATCAGCATGGCCTTTAGCTGCCAGTCACTGTAGAGAGCTCAAGAACACCTGTGTTATGTTTGTGTCTGGGTCTTTTGTCCTACCCCACTGGTCTAGTCATGTGTAAGACAGTAGCGTGCCTTTGGTGGGTTCTAAAGGCAGTTTGCTATCAAACACACTCAGTTCAGGAGAAAACACGTTACTGCTATTGTTATTAATAGTCCTGGCTTTGCAGTAAATCTGAAATATGTAAGACAAAATGAATCCCGCCTGAATGTCTCAGCCTGAGCTGGTTGTCTTCACCATCAGCAGAAAGATGTAGGAATGCAGGGGTTGTTTCTTAAACTAGATCCAGTAAATCACTGTGAAAAAGCCTGTTTTCTCCCTGCTGATTTACAGTGAGAATGCCAATGAGTAATTCAAACACTTACAGGTCAGGTAAGACGAATCCCATCCTCTGTGTCTGGAAATAAATAGTTCCAGGCAAAATATAACGCCTCTCATCAGGAGGTGGACTTCTCTTCTAAAACCTCTGCCCCCCAGTACTCCCCCTCTTAATCCATTCGTAACAATAAAGCAATTCCCTTTGATCTTTCACAGAAATGGCAAGCATGTACGGTTATTTCTTTTCATGCCTAGAGTCATGGAGCCATTTCTCCGCTGGATCCAACTATGTCTGGGTGTGGTATGAGTTGAAACTTCCTACTTCGTGGTGTCTTGACATAAACGGGACAATATTCAGCCCTGGCTCCATAGAGTAATGTGGAAGGCATTTGGCAGCGTTCCTAAATTCTTGCTGTTTAAACATGAGGAAGCAGATCACTTCTGCATACCAGCATTGATTTATAGAGACTGAAGGCCGTGAAGAATCATAGAATGGTTAGGGTTGGAAGGGACCTCAAAGATCATCTAGTTCCAACCCCCCTGCCATGGGCAGGGAACAATCCTTCCATTTAAACTAAGCCAACGATGCAAGAGAGAGTTTCTGCATTCCCAGTCATAGGTTTGAGCCCAGTCACCCTCATGCAGTGAAGGAAGCCACCAACCTGTCAAACACAGGAGTTAAATGTTGTTTAAAACATTCACTACTTCGTTCCTGGAGTCCTTCGTGACGGCTACTGAAGGTACACTCCTCTGCATTTCTCTCTGCTGAGTGTTTCAAAAGGTTTTGGGTAACTTCACAAAGCCTGGGGTTTTATTTTAATGCCTTCCCATTTTTCTTCCAATTCTAAGAACACAACTTTACTGGCAGGTGCACATTCACAATGGGAGAGACTCTCGGCAGCAGAGAAAAAGAGTCGCAGGCACCACTCTCCCCCGTGACGCAAACACCTGAACGCAACCTGTTTGTAACAGGCCTATGGCATCCTACTTCCCCTCGGCAGCAGGCACACTACAGCACTGTTACTGTGTAACTAGAAGCTTCGTGGTTACACTGCCTCAGCACTGACACTAAGTTCTCGGAGAACTGGATTTAAACTTCTGGGAGAACTCCTCCAGCACTTCCATTAGCTTCTTCTCGTCCTCCGGTGGACTTTGGGTTCTTGCCAGAGGTAAGTGTGTAGGGACCGGCTGCCTGTCTGGAAGACAAAAAAATTGAAAAAATCCTTATGGGTACATTTAACTACCTCTTCCAGCACAAAGGAAATTTTTCTGCAAGGCTCTATACTGTCCAAACGTACCTCATGGTCTTGAACCCGGGAAACTTACCTTCCAGGTGTCTGTATACAGTGTTAGTTGAGTATATTTTCCAAACCGGAAATTAAACTAATCTCATTTGTGTTCTGGAACTAGAGTGACTGTTCTTTAGCACAGTATGACTTCAACTGGGGAGCAAGGCCTCCTCACTTGCAGCTAGGGACAGGATAGATACAGGAAGGCCTTAGTGAAGGGTTTACACCTGTTCCCTGTCACTAGTGCAATTCCTGTGGACAAAGGCCGATAACTTGAGATTATTGAGGCAGGCAGAGGTTGTTTTTTCAGCAAGAGAGAGTTTTTCCTTGCCTGCTGGATAATGTTTCTAGTGCTATACTAGTCCCCAGCTGGGACTTTGTAGTTTGGATTATATCTTAAAATACTTATTCCTCCTTAAAAATACATGCTTAAATTCTAATTGTTAAAGAACTTACGCTAATTGTTCAGTCGCCGTAAGTAACATGTATCCAACATAAAGATGTCTGACCAAATTTGCTCAATTCAATGCTTTGATTGGCTCTCCAAATCTCACAGTCCTCACACACTGTGTAAACATAGCTGTATCACCATCCATTCCAAGTGATTTTTCTCTCCAAAGCCACGGTATCTGGAGCCTGGAAACCTTATGCTCCCAGATATCTACGAAGCAACCATCAGAGCGCCGGTGCAGCACTGTTAGTCCGACTTCCGCAGTAGCCAGCTGAGACTAAAAGAACAAGCTGTTGCAACACCGGGCAGCAGATTTCTCTGAAAACCTATCAAGCTGCCATCAGGCTTCCCAGGGGAGAAGAGATGTTTGCTCTTTTAAGAACAAATGTTGTAACTGGCTGCACACACCACATAACCTCTGCTTATGGAAAACTGGAAAGAGAAACATGCAGAAGAACATTTCCTTCTCCATCACGGAATACGAACTGCTTCCTACCTAATTGTGGTGCTTCTAGTAGCCTGTGCTCAAGTTTGGGAACTACATGTGCAAGCCAAGTTCAGCATCACGGAGAAGATGCTTCTAGTCTTTGGAAAGCAAGGCTCTGTCAAACATTTTTTATTTATTTTGGCAGATGCAGAGAATTCTGGTTGTACAAGTCATGTTCTCACTTCCCATTTTTTTCTCTAAGGAAAAAAAAAATTTGCTGGCTTTGGTTTGCACTTAAAGAGAGCAGAATAAAAGAGAACAGAGGAAATGGAAGGAAGGTGTCACTGATTCGGGAAATGACCATCTACGACCAGAAAAGCAGGGTTTGTGGTAAAGTCCTGCACACAGTCCTTTACTGAAAAGGCCTGAAGAGGACACATACTAAGCTGTGGCTTCCAAAGGGCAGTAGGAGAGAGAAATAACTGACTTCATCACTATTTGCTAAGCATGGGACATGGATACAAGACTTCTCCTGCATCCTTAAGAGCAGTCATACCAAGACCAAAGCTCTCAAAAGTAATTACCTATAGCTAAAGAGCCAAGGTGTGTTCCCTGTTTACTAAAGCTGGGGGTAGACAAAGGCCAAAGGCAAGAGCCTGGTGGAATTCGGATCTAGAGGAAGAATGAGTGAGCAGAAGCATTAGGACCAGAAGAAGGTTATAGGAGTATGAAAAAGACAAAGCCTGGTTCTACAAAGAAGACTGACCAGTTGGGATGTAGGGTTTCTGCATGCACCACATGATGACATGAAAAAGGACTGGTTAATTATCTGTCAACCAACCCTGTGTGATTATCTGGGAGGGGACAGAAGGGAAAAAGTCAACTCAACTCCAGAAAAGTCTGAACTTCTTGCATGCTGTGCCAGAAATTCAGTGGATCAGGATTCAAGTGCCATATCCAACAGAAGTACTGGGCTCCTGTGAGCAACTGCCCTGAGCTTTTCCTTTCTCACAGACCTGCATCACCATTAAGACATCTATGCTTCCAGCTGCTCCTACGAAGATGCCTGTGATTTGCCTGGGAGAAAAGAAAGGCTCTGCCCTATTTTTCCATTCCCT